GCAATCAAAGTTCTTTTCAATAAGCGACTAGAATTATGTGCCGGCAAGTCATAGTGATTAGTGAGTTATTTCATACCATTTTTACGGTGAATATGATACGTTCTTAACATATTTGTAACTTCTTTAGTTTTCAGGCTATAATATTATTAAATATGTATTGTTGTATCGTTTATCTAGACTAACATATTAACAAAGTGTGGGTCCAATTTGAGGCCCTCTTTGATTTGCAGGATTTTCAGAACGTAGGAATAGGGAAAACACATGATTTGAGTGGCATGTCCATATGAATCCTATAGGATTAGCATAGAGTGTTTGATGCCACAGAAAAAACAAAGGAATTATAAAAAGAGATTGGAGTGGATGCTTGATTTCCATTGAAATGTAGTACACTTGATTTCATAGGAAAAAAATCCTATAGGATTCAATCCTTTGAATCAAAGGACAACCAGAGGAAAAAATCCTAAGGATTCTAGCCCTCCAAAAATCCTATGTAATTCCTTTGAATTAAAGGAGCCCTGAATGTTTTTGGTTATAGGAAAATCTTATCTCTAGACTTCTGAAAATTTCGAGCAAATTGAGATGAAGTCTTTCCAGTGAAAGAAAACCAGTGCAGGAAGGCCATCCAAGGGGAGCCCCACAAGGCCCATACACCTTGCAGATGCTGGCATGTGGGCCCCACATGGATCCTCTCCTCTGGGGTCTCGTGCCCGTGACTTAACCCCGCGGGGGTGGGGGGGGGGGTCGCCTTCATCAACATCGATCTCCACTGCTTCGGTGGAAAGCACTGGGGGAAAAGCATTAGTTGTATTATTTGAAAATGTATTCTCGGAAAGCGAGTCAAAGGGTGAAGCGATCTGGAGGATCCTAGATAAGATTTACCATGTGTTCTTTCGGGAGAGTAGCACCTAGACAATTCTCATGGAAAGGACCTATTTATATTACCTACTCCCTCCGTTTCTAAACATAAGGTGTATTGTTTTTTTCCAAAAAGTCAAACTTCTCTAAATTTGACCAAGTTTATAGACAAAAATATCGATATCTAGAATACCGAATCATTATCACTAGATTCACCATGAAATATATTTTATATATTAGTATTGCAAATACTTATATATTTTGCTGTAAAGTTGGTCAAATGTGGACAACGTTTGACTTAAAAAAATCAATACACCTTGTATTTATTAAGAACCGAGGGAGTATATGCTATCGTATGGTTCTATCTTCCAATTTTTAAGATATGTCATCTACCTATTCTTTGAACTATCGTATGTTCTCATGGTACTTCACATTTTCAATTTATTTGGAAAAGAATGCATGTTGTAATGTATTAAATTAATCATTACTCCCTCCATTTCTAAATATAAGTCTTTGTAGAGATTCCATTATGAACCACATACGGATGTATATAGATGCATTTTAAGTGTAGATTCATTCATTTTGTTCCGAATGTAGTCCATTTAATGAAATCTCTAGAAAGACTTATATTTAGAAACGGAGGGAGTACATCTTTGCATGGTTGCTCTTGTACTGTCATCATGATTTTCTACTAAACAGGAACATTTGGTATGCTATCTTTGATGGTCTTCTTCCGAAGAGGAAGAATTGGGAAATAATGCCAGAGTCCCATTGTATTTTTTAAAAATAAATGGGAACAACTATCATGGACAAAATGTTAATTTTTTCCTTTCATTTTTCCAATCCAAGTGTTGGATTTTTTTGGCTTCCCTATGTTTTCAACGAATAATTGGAACAGTTGAGACTTTCTACAATACGGTTATGCAATTTTGGGACCCAAAATGTTAAAACCTTTTCAAATATCCATTCAAATATGTAAAAAAAAAAAGCAATCGGGTTATGCATGGAATCTAGTTTTTTGTCTGACCACTGAATATTTGTGGATCCAAAACTCAGTTGACCAAAAATACAGGGCAAAAAAGCCAAGCAAGAAACGCAGGACAAGAAAAAGATGACGAAGAGAAGACAGCACGAGGAGGCGCAATCAGAAACTATAGGAATGATGGCATAGCAAAGGATAGCACTATTACTCGTTGCTTAAAATTTAATAATGTACCACTGTAGCATGTGCACATCAAGAGAATAAGAAAGCTAACTAACTGTGTCTGCAACCATCATGCAGTTAAGACTTTAAGGCTACAGTCAATCTAACTCTTGCCATGTTGTTTCTTCTTCCTTTTATGTTTTGGTTTGACAGCATCTACTAGACTCTCCGGTGATCTGCTTTCCTTGACCTCATCTGACTCTCCAGCACTTCCAGAATTTGACACACTTTTCACCTCTGGATTAGATTCAATCAACACTGGCTCGACATCCTCATGCTTTTTGTCATTTGCTACAGCTGGTGAATCTGCATATTGCAAGGAGAATTTCCAGAATTCAGAAACATGTGTATGCATGTCATAACAAAGAATCGTTCTTGTCCAGTTAAGAGATATTTTTTCCAGAATTAGTTAACTCAGCCGAAGCATGCTTAACATATGGAACACATGTTTCAGCACTTTTACTATTATCATATTTCATGGCTAGTGAGGACTAGAATTGAAAACTGAAGCTTGAACCCGATGTTCGGGAAATTCATTATAGGTAGTAAGCACTCAGAAAATGCAACTAGACAAAAAATGAAAATATAACAGGCAAACACAATTCATGGTACCAGGCAACCGAGAGATTCTGAGGGAGCTTAATGAAACTCCTTTGGAGTATGGATCCCTACATTGCAGAAATCAGGGTGGTTGGCAAAACTTATATCAAGCGACTATTCAATGCTCGGATTTAGAGAAGTGCAGCACTCCAGTAGCTACGAATTTGATGGGCCACCAACGAACGTGGATGTTTGTTTGTGTTTAACAATTCGGTCTGCAGTCAAGGTTGAAATCATTTTTGTATTTTGATGATTGTCATCACCTTCACTTATCTGCTGATCATCATTGGGTGCCTTCGAGGTTTGGTTTTCCATTGCACTATGCATGCTCTCCTTCATAGCGACATCAGGAACGTTAACTTCTTTAGCAACTATTGCTGGAGTACGCTTTACTTTCTGCAATGCCTTATCAGTAGTGTACTTATCGACCTGAACACAAAAGAATAGCATGGGTTTTGATCCTTAGAATGACATGCATATCTGATCATGAAAACAGAACAAAGTTCAGAAACACATGATTTCTATGCACCAGGCTCATTCAAAGAGCCGTTGAACACACATGCCGATGGATTGATCCAGGGGTTTGATTTGCTACTTTGAGATGAACCAGCAAGAAGCCAAAATAGGGTAAATTTGGTAGCAGATGGGTGTGTTAACCAGGGCCGTGGCAGAGATGGCACGGCCACGCTAAGAGGCACAGATACAGATAATCGGATATACAGACACTGGGATACGTCCAAGTATATAAATATTTAGCTTGATTGTATAACAAAGATTAAATGATAATTTTTCAAGAGATTTTTTAAGTTGAGTACTAAAGATACGTTGTGACAATTTCACTAATGAAGGACTTTGAGCAGTGCATACGTAATACAGCCCAATTTCAGAAACTCTAGACTAAGTCAGCTCCTCCATCCTTTCCCATTCTCAATCTGCCTCCCCTTGCTCCAGCTGCCCGAGCGCTGCAGAGCAGGAGAAAACGACTGCACCGCCGCATGTACCTTCTTGCTCGTCGGTCGCTTCTGTCCCCATCTTCCTCTCCGCTTGAATCTTCTTCGCTGGTGGCCCAGTCCCCATCTTTCTCCCTGCCCAGAGCTTCTTCTTTGTTGGCAGCCGCCTTCACAACTTCATCCCCGCCTGGATCTTCTTCGTCACCAGCGGCCACCGTTCCCATCTCCCTCCTGCCCATATCACAGCCGTATCTGCCCAGTGTCCCAGCCTATCGCTATTTATTTTATTTCTTTTAAATCGGAAAAAGGCATAGGCGCTAGCAAAACGCCTAGCGCTTAATGCGGTTAATGTGCGCTTTGGTCAGAAAGGTGGCAAAAGACACAATTAACGCCTAGGACTTTTTATAACCCTCAAAAAGGATACTTGGGGATACACGTATGCCGGCGTATCCCTGCATTACGTATGTACTGCACGGGGACATGACTGATGCTACCATATCGGTGCTTTCTAGTGTCCATGTGCCTGACCAGCACAATGTCAACTTTCTATCATTGTTTTGTTTCCCTTTTTATGTTACATAGGGGTTTCAGTATGGAACTTTGTGGGTGGCTTAAACACTTTACATGTCAGAGTGGTTAACCACACATAGAGTTCATGAACCACATTCCCAATTGGCAACCCCTGCTATAGTTTCATATTTCATAGAACATTAAAGCAGATATCCAAATTATAATGCCATATAGTGATGCAGCTTGCCTCACCTTGGTCTTTATTTTGCTTGTGATATCAGCAGCTTTAACCGAAGCAATCCTTAAACACTGCATGATAACACTTGACATGACACCCTCTCCACCAGCTTTCTGAATGGCACAGACATCACCATTCGAGTTAACCGTAGCTGTCATCCTTCCTCCCATAACAGCTTCTTCCTTGTATGTTGGATCGATAACCTACACACAAAAGATCAGCCAAAGACTGTCATGAGAAGATGAGAGCAACAAGATGATTGGTAACAACACGCCCTTCATGTTTTGAAATATACCATGATATTACCGTCACCAAAATATGCAAAGGTTACAGCTATGGGGAGATGATGAATTGTTAGGGGAAGTGGATCCATGACCTGTAAAATACATTAAAGATAAATACATAAGACAAATTTCATGGCAGTGTAAACGACAGGACCAGCATGTGATAGTTAATAACAGGGTTGTGTTTGTGATAATGTATAACAGGAAGCTCTGTAAGTCATACAAATTTGCTACTTCTCGTTATAGCGACACGACAAATTGGAGCATATACAATAACCTTATATAGGTACCTCAGGGTCATGTACTGTGACTTGCTGACCATCATCCCCACCAACCGTGCATTCAGGCCTCCGGAATGTAGACAAAGCTGCCAATGCAGCGATGTTAGCTGCATCGATGAGATTCCTGAGAGATACATCCATATCATTCCACGCGGTTAGCACTCTACCCAGAAGCATTCACTCATTAATTACATTACATCAGTAGGCAATATACAACCCATACCCCCCATTGTCCAGAATGTGAAGGTCAACGCGCACCGCCCAGACATGCTTCCCCGCAACAACACACAAGGATTCCATATCCACGGCTCTGCTCTCCCTGCAACAACGCACCGACCAGAAGTGAATCCGAATTAAACTCCACACTTCAACTCTCTGACAAAAAGAAATACTACTACCAAACAACCATCCGGAGACCACCTTAGGCCACGATCGATGACACGACCCAGCTCAATCGCCGCTTCCCCGGGCCGCCCCGGCTCAAAGGCGGGATCAGCCATGGGCGAGAACTCGGTGAATATGGCGAGCGTGCCCTCGTTCGGCCTGTCCTTGTACGGCGGGACCAATTGGGCGGTCACATAGCCCATCACGCACGTCTCGCCGAGCAGCACCTCCGCGGAGCCGTCCTCCCTGCAGATTCCAACGGCGACCTCAGCCACACATTGATGCGCGCGCGAGCCGAGAAGCCACCTGAGCTCAAACAGTCGGCCGCGGAAGGAGAAGGGGGAGGGGGAGGAGGGGATCGAGTCGAGGTACCTGCCGAAGGAGATTGTGAGCTTGCGGAAGTCGAAGGGGCGGAAGTCGAAGGGGCGGCGGCCGTCGACGCGGAGGTCCGACTGGAGGGCCTGCTCGATGAACTCCCGCTCGTTCACCGTCGGGCGCCACCGCTGGTCCATCATCTCGTCGCTCGCCGGCGGCGGGGGCTAGGGTTTTAGACGCGGCCGAGGCGGGGTGTGAGAGCTGTGTTTTTTCCTTTCTTCTTTTCGACGGGAGCTTGATTTTTTCTTTTGAGAGAAAATTTGTCACATTCGTTGTGTTTTTGAGCGGCCTGGGCTTGGGTCGGTGCGGGTTAGCTGTCCCCACGTGGGCTGGATTCTGGCACGGCCCGAACACCACAATATTCATATTTTTTTTACGGACACAATATTCATAATTTTATTTTCATAGATAGAAAAAACTTAAAACATTTCGGGAATATATTCTTAAAAAAATTTAGGGATTCTTAAAAATAATCTTGAAGCAAGTTTAAATACTGAAAAATGTTTGCGCGCGGAAAATATTATAGATGAAAATAAAATATTCATTGTGTATTAAAAAAATGTTCATCATGAATTTCAAATTATTCATTGTGTATTTTTAAGAAGTGTTCATGAGCGAAAAATGTTGTATAGATGAAAAGAAAAAAGAAAGAAAGAAAAAACTTGGAAGAACCGAAAGACAAAGAAAAAACCTGAAAGAAAACTGAAAATAAAAAGAAAACCCTAGAAGAAAAACCAGATAAAACACACCCTTAAAACCTGGAAAGGACAAAAAAGAAAGAAAATTGGACTAACAAGCGATGATGGGCCCTGACCCATTGGACTAAATATTTGCATAATATTCTCAATTAAATCGTTAGTCCAACATAATCACATGCCATCGACCCCAAGAACACATTAGGGACTCACATGGCCATTGTCATCTTGACTAACACTGACTCACACTGATCATTGCTTCAGTACACATTATTTGGAAATAGGAAGAACAACAATGTTTCCAAAGGATCATGACATTTAAACTCAGGAGTTGTGAACAAAAAAAACTCACACCAGGACACATTTCACTTATCAGTCAAGCTTTCACCATCTACTGAAGCATTCATTGCAAGGTTTTGCGCTTCTAAAAGCTTCATCTGCCGCTCAGCATGCTCCCTCTCACACTGGCTAATGCCCATGATGATGTCAAGCATAGTTCCAGTAGTGCCGAAGAACACCAGCGGAGCGAAGGACTTCCTCTTTATGCCCACAGGAATGGCAAGGAGAGCACCAGCAACAGAGAAGACCCAAGTTCCGAGGGCACTGCATGCACGTGCGGAACTGTATCAGCATAACATGTTCCAAGCAAAGTGCTGCCTAAAGAACTGCTCTTTTTCTAGACATATATATCTGCAAAGTTTACAATTCTACACATATCATTTATTGGTGCTAACTTTAGTACACGGTAACTTTGTCATCTCACATATTCGAAGCAAAGTGTACAAATCTACAGCGCATGTTCACTGGACTTTTAACTGCGCCCTGTTTACACAATTCATTATTCTAACATGGCCGTGCACACCCCAATAGCATATGACCATATGCCGGTGCACATCTCGCAGAAAGAATGTAACAGGAAATTTCAGCTATGGTTAAGAAATATGACACTAGAGTAACCGGAGGCATGGTTTGCTTAATGCCCAAAACTCATAGTAACCGGAGTATGAGTTACTATGGGAAAAAAGTTACAACATGCCATGTCCATAAGTTCATGTTTCATGAATCCGATACCATTTTTAATTGTACATATTTTGGGACCTTATAGCATGTATCAAGAAATACTATCCCAGCAGCAGGGAACTAGACATAATGCAACTGCTAAATCCCCGCCACTCGGCAAAAGGTGTGAAGTGGGTTTGTGCCATTCCGTCTCTGCCTATCAAAGGATCAAAGGAAAAACGTAAAAGAGTGGGGAATTCCTGGCGTTCAAGGATTTCAACAAACCCTTAGCGGTTATAGCCTATCCTTTTCTAGACATACATCTGCAAAGTGTACGAATCTAAACATGCCATTTATTGGTGCTAACTTTACTATACGGTAAGTTCATCATCTCACATATTCCAAGCAAAAGTCTACAAATCCACAGCCCATGTTCAAGGGACTTTCAACTGCACACTGTTTACACAATTCATTATTCTAATATGGCCTGCACATCTCACAGGATTGTACCAAAAAAAAGGGTGATGGTTGAGGAACATGACAGTAGAGCAACTGAAGGCCTAGTGTGCTTAATGCCCAAATCACATTCACATCTATGAGTTACTATGGGGGAAAAGTTACATCATACCATGTCCATAAGCTCAGGTTTCGTGAATGTGACACCATTTCTGATTTTACAGTACTTTGTGGCCTCATAGCATGGATCAAGAAATACCATATCAACAGGCAACGACATAGGTCTGTGCCATTCTGACGTCTCTGCCCCTCAATCAAACAGAAAAACAGAAACGAGTGGGGAATTCCTGGCGTTCGAGCATTTCAACGAACACCTAGCGGGCGCCCGCGAAGCCCAGACCTAGATAAGCACTACTACATCGACCGCGACCGAAGCGGCAGCGAGAATCACAAGGTTGGACGCAGGGGAGGGAGAGCCGAGTGACTAACTTGGCGACGGTGCAGTCCTCGAGGTGCTTCTCGCCGCTGCCGACTCGGTCCATTGCTCGTTTGCCGCGGGGCCCGTTGTCGTGACGCGGCGGTGGATCAGCCTGTGGACGAACTGGCGTCGGATCTCGGGCAGAGCTGGATGTCACCGAGGACGGAGGAGGCCGGATCTCGGAGGCGGGCGGGGACCGGGGGCGGCCGCGGCGGAGGGGGGAGAAGAGAAGGGGTCGGGGCTCGAGGAAGGGAGGAAGGAGGAGGAGGCCGAACCGTTTTCTTTCTGGTCTCGGTCTCATCCCTGGCCCCTGGGAGAGCCGCCTCCCTAGCTCCCGATTCCCCGCCCCGCCCCCGCCCCCGCCGGCTTCCTCTCGCGCCGCCCCGCCGCCTCTCCCCGTCGGCTCCCCCGTGCTCCTCCCCCGACGGCCGCAGAGCCGCGCGAGCGCCCACCCCACCCCGCACCGCCTCCGCCCCGGCTACCCTCGCCCTAGCCCTCCCCGGGTACCAAGGGTTTGACAGGCGATGGAGAAGGGGAAGTCAGTGGTCGCGGAGCTCGCGGCGTCGTTCAGCGGCGTCCAGGTCACGCCGCGCCGGAAGCCCGCGAGCACGCCGCCAGCGGCCAGCTTCTGTGAGCTCCCTGTTCCTCTTCCCTGTAATCCATGGTTTCCTTAAATCATGTGTTCTATGTGCTGTCAGTCATGGTTGCATATCATTCATTGGTTTATAATAAAAAGCGCGCTTAGGGTCTGCATAATCAGAGTCCGTGCTATCTTCTTTTTTAAAACTGCGCTATCTTTTTTGTAGAGATGGGATGTTTCTGCTTTCTAGCTGTGAACATGGGATGTTTGTGTTAATTGCTCAGCCTGGGATAGGAAAATAGATCGTCAACTTTCTGAGATGGTAAAACAGACGAGGGCATTGTTCTCAAGGGAAGGTGCAATGGATGTGGTTGAAGATTCAGTTCGATTGTTCCATTAGTGGCTAGGCGGAACGCTTAATAAGTTTCATCTTGCAGCAACCAACAAGAACTGCGGGATTCCCCTGTTGCTAGGGTAGTAGAGTACATGCGCTTGCAAGTTCCAACTAGTTGCTTCAGGGATTGAGTTAATTCATTGACGTTGACCTTAATCCAGTCGCATATGGATTGGAACAACTGAGTTCTGTTTCTTGTTATTTTAGGTTGTACTGTGAATTTGATTTATTATCTGCAAAGTGATAAATTTTGAATTTGAACTAATTCAGATTCAACCATGAAGAAGGCCAGGCCTAGGAAATTGGTTAGTTTGTGCATTGGCGTCCTCGGTCAGCATCTTGAAGATATTATCAATGATATTTCTGAATTTACTGCCTTCTTCCCACCACACATAAAGGTACCTATTTGGATCTGTGGTCAGCGTTCTTGCCTTAATGCCGAATGCACTCTGTACTCAGATTTGTAATTACTTAATTAGCTAGTTCATTTTACTATTAGTTGAAACCCAGTAAATTTAGAAAGTAAGCCATTGGGGGAAATGTTCTGTTCGTCTAGGTAGTATTAGACTTATAATCAAACAAAAACTATGGAAAGTAGGAGGAACAATGTATGTATTCTTGAAGGAGATCATCAGAATGGGGGCTTGAACCCATGATGTCAACCACAAGAACCTTGTGCCTGCCAGTACTATTAGGTTACACTCTCCCCCCTGTTATTCCTTTTAGACGGTGGGTTGAAATGCCGATTTCTTCTGCTACATAGTACAGTCTCTTTCTGCTTTATTTGTAATACTTCAGACATGGAAATGTATTCAAGCAACACTTAAATCTATATTTTGCTTTCTTTCCATGATGTGGAATCGTGAATCTTGATGAGGTAAATAGCACAGAAGACATAGACCTTGAAATTAGGAACTTTAGAAGCGAACGCAGCAAGATTCGAGTATTGGCCAACAGTTAGGGAAAGATTGTTTGACATGAGATTATTATTACTATTTGATGTCTTGCTTATAGAATAGTAGCTAATAGCAAATCCAATATGTTCTGTCTGATGTTCAGTTCAAGTGCCAGTTTCGGTATTAGTGAAATATTGATGGTGTATTTACTGCATATCCTCAACACACTGCTATTATCTAGTTATCTGCTCATACCTATACATGTAAGATGTAACAGTAATAAGTGAGTTAATTCTATGATACAGTTGGCAATTATGTCTGTCGCAAGGAGGAGAAGATTACTGAATGATGATGTTCTGGTTTCTCTTGTTGATAGCTCCTGGAAGATCCTAGATATATCTGGGTCTGAGGTTACTGATGTTGGCCTGGCTACTGTGGCACATACTTGTAGTAACTTATGGGCAGTTGATATTAGGTAAGCTTCGGTGCTCTATGTCAGCTATTATTTTGTGAAAGCTAAACAGACAGTCTAGTTCATGGTTGCATTATATTTATGACATATCTTCCTTTGCAGTCGATGTGAAAAAATAAGTGCTGCTGCCGTTTCAGAAATTATATGCCACTGCCCATCCCTGGAGATATTAAGATGCGGGTATGACCCCCAATTAAATGCATCTGCAAGCTTTGGGTTACTTTATAGTTTATTTATTATAGCGATGTTTTACTTCTCTGGTCCTTAGGCTTGAGGGTAACTTATATCATCTGGTTGCCTGTGATTGCCATGTTTTTGCATCTATTCTTTCTGGATAAGTCAAGTATGTGGGTGCAGTGCACTGGTCAATTCCTACCTGTAAGGCTGTAACATGGTTGAATTCAGTCCCATGAAACTTGCAAATGCAGGGCTTTAAATTTCGAGTGTTGGAGTTGCTGAAATCAAACGTATGCAATTTGGAACTTAAAATTAGCTTGTTCTTCATGTGTAACTGACAATTAGCAAAAGAGAAAAATGATTCATTGGATTTGATGTCAATTGTCAATATGTAATTACGTTGTCATGCACCGTGTGTGTTCTCTGTAAACATTAAGTTGCTAAAATGAAATGTATGCAGTTTGGAATTGAAAAATAGATTGTCCTACATGCGTAACTAGTTCAAACCTTGGTAGGTAGTTGTTATTTGCTCTCTCTCTCTCTCTCTCTCTCTCTCTCTCTCTCTCTCTCTCTCCCTGCTAACGGTTATTGTAGCTTTCAATTTGACTGCATAATATTCCGCGTAGCAGGATATGAAAAAGGCTTAAATCCCATTATTGCAGAGGCTGTCCAAGAAGCGAATTCACTGCCCGTGGGTGTGTCAATCTCCTGAAACCCAAACTGAATACCCTTGAAGAGGACTCATGGGAGGAGCTTGAAGCAGTAGATTTTGGCAGTGGCGCACAGTCTTTAAGATGGCTAGTTTGGGTAAGCATGCAAGTTCTCTCGTCTCTGAATGATGATATTTGCATTTCACAATCAATTAATGTACCCCTTATGTTTCATCTTTTGTGTGTCTTGTTATAGCCCAAGATAGATGATAACTCGAAGGAAATTCTCGCCTTAGAATGTCCTCGTGTTATCGTCAACCCGAAGCCATCACTTCTTGACCTCGGTGGATCCAAGACCCCAAGTGAAGCATTGGCAAGCATACCACTAGACCATTCCGTGGTGGAAGATATTGATCCAAAAACATGGGCGGTTTCTGCTGCCCCTCGAAGAGCTGCTGCTGCTCCACCTCACCCAAACGCTCCGCCTGAAATACCGATCGCGGAGAGGTTTAGGCTAGCGTATGTGGAGAGGGACGCGAGGCTGGCGCCGAAGAGGGCCAGGAGGGAGAGGCAGCACCGACGCCGCGCTGAAAGGGATTACTTGATGAATGATATCGACGCCAAGTCTATTGCGCTTGCGAGTAAATACCTAAGCAAGGGCTAGCGATGATGGTCCTTGTGTTGTTTTGGGGTGTTGTATGTATCAGTGGTTGTCTAAACACAAGGGAAGAAATTCCACAGAAAGAAAAACAAGGGAAGGAATTTTGTGAAGTGTAACAAATGAACAGCTGCATCATATCAGGAGCACGGTGGCAGCATCGATGTATCCAACTAAATGAAAACTGAAGCAGTTTTGTAGAGCTTTGTGCTTGCGATGTTTAATTATGTGTACATTGGTACACATGCTTGATGGAGCAATTTTGGTAGAGCAATCAGAGATGAGGATCCAAGCATTACACAAGATTATTCAGAGATCAAGACCACAGATTTCTTTGTTTTTTTACATAAAAGATTACACAGATATTTTCTACTAGTACTCCCAAGGTTGCACTTCCTACATCTTGAAAAAAGTTGCAGCTCCTAAAAGGAAAAGAAAGAAGCATCTACACAGATCTACCGAAGCCGAGCGGCACAGCAGTTGGTCTTCAGTGGGCGGCAGCATCCAGCTCCAACTGCGCCGCCGCGAAAGCATCCCGCAGCAGCAGTGGCCAGCGGCACAGGAGTCGACCGGCCGGCCTATCAGTGCGCGGCGAGGAGCTCGGGCGGCGCGGCGGCGAAGGCGCCGAGGAAGGCCTCCAGGGCGCCCGGCGACACGGGCGGCGGGGGCAGGAACACGACGCCGCGGGCGGCGGCGAGCTTCTTCCGGAGCGGGTACCGCATGCCGCCCCGCGCGCCCCCGAAGAAGAAGTGCGGCACGGCGCCCGCGGCCGGCGCGGGCGACGGGGGAGAGGGCGAGGAGGGCGGGAGGAGGCGCGCGGAGGCGGCGGAGCGGAGGGAGCGGGCGACGATCTTGGAGTCGCGGAGCCTGGCGAGCGCGCCGGGGCGGAGGAAGCGGCCGTGGTGCTCGTGGTCGCAGCGCTGCGGTGAGCGGAGGCGGCGGTCCGCGGCCGGGTGCGCCATGCGCGAGGGCGGGGCG